TATTGCATGAAAAACAAGGACCGAACATCTGCCGCAAAAATCGAACGATTTTATTGTGAGACGAAAAGCTGATCTTTGACAGGAGAATATTGCGTTTAGATACCCTTATTTCATCAAAATTGACCATCTTCAAATGTGTACAGCACATTATTATGCGTGGAAATATCTACCTTTGTTTGTCCTGTTTTGACATTAGATTTCACACATAACGCAGGATCTCGCAGTGATCGGATAATTATCTAATGTGACTTGTGTTAAATATGGTTTTATTTTTATAATCTACTTCAATTTTCAGACAGACATAATTTAGGTTTGTTAGACACAAATAAATAGAAATCAAACAGGACTACTTTGCAGGAGCAGAAGGATATTGATACTATACTAGTGATAGGGTTAAATCTACACTATGCACAGTATAGTATACTTATATAGTATAGTATAGCCCACAAATTGTGTTTTGTGGAAGTCTTTTCGTGTGATAATTTTATCTAAAAACATCTCATTGATGCATAGAAACATTGTAAGGATGTACTTGAATGACTAGATAAAACTAAGATCATAGAAGCAATGCACATGATACAGAGGTTGGTTCGCAATCTTCATATTCTCGGATATTGGGGTTATCTAAATCTCCTCTGTTTGCATGGTCTTTAGCATCTGGTTGGTCTGATGGTGGACCTGTTGTTCTTATACAAGCACAGCGGGATTGGGTGGAGCCAGGTTTAAAGAACTTTCTCGGAACACCAACCCAATCTCTTGCAATGCCACCACTGTAGATAAAAAGAAAACGTAATTTGTCAAATAACTTTAAAGCAAGGATTTTATACACTCAAGTATGACAAAGCAAATGTCATCGTCTGATTCATAAGGTTTTGCTGACGACCTTCCATGGCTGCGAACCAGTGCATGATTGAGTTAGAAAAAGTTGTATTTGACTTCAGTTAAATTGAATGATTTGATTGGGCATGCCAAGGAGCTGATTCCATCAATCAGTGTTCTTGTAACAAAAACTCAAATCAATTTTAAATTTAAACCAATAGACTTTGACTAATATCACATCATAGCTTAAATTACAAAAACAAGCGATATTTAATTTCCCATGCGTCACAACGCTTGTCTTCATGGAAATGCACCAGAGCACGCACCACTGTGATTTTGTCAACAGTGAATATAGGTTTATAGTAGGAATTCAGCTAAGATATAATGGTGAGGCAATGGCCAAATAAATAAGCCTTGGCTGATCAAGATGAGCAAATGCATAATTTCAGAAGTTTAACTTCAACTGCAAAGTGCTTGAAACGAATTATTGTCTTGTTTTCAGTCATAGCTCCTTTCTTTTGCAGACAAGACATACCAAAGATGTGACGTCATCATTTACATTATAACAAAAAACAATATTACAATAATGACAGACGATTTTAACAGTCTAGAAACTACTCTCTTTGCTAAATCTTATGTGAGTAATCAATGACCCATATGATAATGGTATGATTCATACAGCTGAACGAATAGTTGATTTGCTGACTGTTTTGCAATGTACATTTACAAAACATTATGGTGCCTGGCAACTGAAATTTTCACGGTACACAAGTTGATTTTAAGATGACAATGACTGACGAATCAGATTGCTCCCTTATTTATAGCACCATACTTGGGTACTTTCTTTTGTAACACTGGACTGGAAGTTCTGCAGTGTGTGACAAAAATAGAACTGAACTAACTTCCATAACTGAACACAAAATGCACAGCACAGAGCAAAACATTTTTTTGTGTACTCAACGATCACGGGAAATCAGTCTGAACAGCTCCACTCTTTTGACTATTAAAGTTGACAGTGAAGCTCATAAACAAACTGGATATTGAAAATATATTCAATTTGAAAACAATTACTTATATATTAAATCTGAAAATAATCAGTTATTATGACCACAAGACAAAAACAACACCCTTCACTTACTTTATGGTGATTTACAGAAATATCAAATGCAGATACATTTCTACTAGTGAACTGATGCTTATACATGTACACTACCTTTTAGTTGAACACCATACTTTCCCTCCCTCATTCTGTCTCCATTCAGAATTGCAGGTGGGAAATTTCTCCTTTTCCGCTTTATCAACTTCTTTCAGTTTAATCCCTTCTGCTATCATATCTTCCACTTTGGCATGTTCAGGAGTTGGATTTCCATTCTCATCATAGTATCGACCGTTCAGTTTACCTGTCAAAAACAAAGCATACCTGTCATTTCTGTCAAAACCACTGCAAAGATAATTTTTTACAATAAATAGAAAAATAATAATATTTCCTTAGTAACATCTGAAAAACGGGAGGTACTAGTAAGCTACAAATACCAAAATAAGGCCTCTTGTTCCTGGGAAAATTGAAGAACAATCTATGTTTAACCTTTAAAAAATACATGCATTTTTTAATACAGGTTCGACATAAGCAAAATCTCTTATTCTACCGTATGTTGTACAAACAAAAAAATTATCCATACATTAACATTGCATTATACCATTATGCACACTGCCAGTATTCGTTATTGCAACACTATCACGCCAAAAAATCAATCAATTAATCAATCGCTAATCTAAGACCTTATTATACATTTAGCCTGACAAGATTGTGTGGTTGCACCCTCCGTGGTGCTCCAAACCCAACACATGACTGAGAGTAGTTTTTCCCTAATCCTGACGATTTTTTGTCTGTACCAATCAAATTGCAGGAACGTCAGGTAGTGACAGCCATCAAAGAGTAACCATTCACGGCAGAGTTCATTTGTTTGTTGACATAATGTGTGATAAGGTGCGGGCAAATTTCAGCCCAATGTTTATCATCTTGTAGAAAACAGTCTGTGATTTTTACAGACACTGCAAACACGACTTTGATTGATGGTGTTACCATAACCACCAAAATGAATATTCATCGAACTCATTGCAAGAAGACGTGAACTTTGTGAATTCGCTGTATTGATCTTTCCGACGAGACATACACTATTCTGTCAGGCATTAGTAGTGTTTGATGCCGTTCGGTCTGGCGAGGGCATCACTCACACCTACATGTCAGACTACTATACATCTAGCACCGAAAATTTGTTGTTCCGTAAAAAACATATCATCACTTTTTCAGGATATTGACGTCTTGACACATTCTAGGATATTGACGTCTTGACACATTCTAGGATATTGACGTCTTGACACATTCTAGGATATTGACGTCAGATTCAAACACTTTCCTTTGTTTACATTTGATGCAGAAGTGCACAAATGAAGTAGAAGCCTGTCAGTGCAAAACGTTTTTCGGGCTGTAATTTTTCATTAAATTCTTACTACAAGAAGGAAAAATATGTATACCGGTAATTATAAGGTTATGCCAACAATACCACAAAGCATGCACACTGCATGTCACATCGACCTTCGTTACGCGTCAGTTGCAGTATTTTCATACTAACCTCATAGCAATATGAGTAATGCATTGGCATTAAAAATAAAATCTTAAATACATACCTACAAACGTATACGTGTTTTCATAAAATTCAACCCACTTTTTCACTTCCATTGCTTGCTGTGGTGTGAAACCAGTCAGGTCATCAATCAAACCCTTTTCATTGAATTCACCAGTCACATAGGCCCTAGAAGCATCTTTTCCTATGAAAAAATAAGCATTAATATTAATATTACTCATGTGTAAACTGAAACAGCTATGAATCACTATATACATTTAGCCTGCATTCCTGTTTTTCCTGAAATATTGCACACTCTTTCACAGGCGAGACACAAAGACAGCAACCTAAGAAATGGGGAGTTTGTGATATTTCAAGATATTATAATTATTTTTGGGGGTTTGGTGTAATAAAATGATTTATTTTCACAATAAAAGAACTGTTATGCAAGCTGGCATTGCAATTACATTCTCATATACCCACTGCAATGCCAAGACAGACAGACTGACTGACTGACTGTAGAACCATTTATGCATCATTTTCAGATACATGTATATATGTATTAAGCCAATTTTGTTATATGGATCAACAACTCGTACAGTTTTGAACCATATTTGCTCCTTTGTAATCTGAAACTTAAATAAAATCATAATGACTTGATTCAGAATAAGTACTCATGAATTAGAAATAGAGAATGATAGACACACCCAACTCAACACACCTCTAGAAGACAGAATCTGTAAGCAATATTCACAGATCAAAATTGAAAATAAAGAATATCTCTTCATGGAAGTTTTTAGAAAGACAAAAGTTATTGAATAATGTCTACATTCCAAAAGAATTAAAATGTGATGTTCAGATATTTAAATATATTATGAGTTCAAGAGAAGACATAATAATAAGATAAACTGGTGAATACTTTGAAATCAGAAATAACAATAACTGACATTTTACTTCAGTTTTATATGTATTGTACTTTATTACTAACATTTCATTGCTGTCAACCAATGGAAACTATTTCTAAGGATGCAATAGATTCATTATTATTAATTATAATTATTATATTGTATACAGGCTTTCTTTATTACAATAACCTACTAACTGTGAGCAGGAAACAGACTGATTAAATAACGAGATTATCCCAAAAACTTTATCATGAAAAATAAATTTGTGTCTCGATGAAACTTGGCTTAGACATTTTATCTATGGCACATATTTGCATTGAAAATTAAAAATTTTAAAATCGACTTTTAAATATGTGTTTATTTCAAACAATTACTTTGCATTGCAGATCTTTTCTTTTTTTCAGAATTCTTCGGAAGCAGTATTGCAATAGTGCTTGCAAAACTGTTGTATGCTGCAATGTCAACATTTGATTTTTTCTTTTGACGAGAAAACAAGAGAAGAAATACAGGATGAAAAATAAGAGGTTGTTTCTTCATTGCTGTATTGACTTGTGCCTTTCAGAAATTATAATCCATTCGTGCAATGGGATATTAGTATAATGAATACAGGGACACTAAATGGCTGAATACATATAAAGATATGTATGCTAGTCACATGGACAAATATTTACTTTGTATATGTACATCAGAAATGCTGGTAGATGAGAATTATGTTTTATAATTATATACATGGTGTTAAATTGGATGAAATTTGTATAAATGGATTGTTTTTTGCTGATGATGTGGTGCTTATTGCACCAAATGAGGTCCAACTAAAATCCATGTTAAATGTCACAAACCATTTCTGCAGGCTATGGAAGATGACAATTAATGAGGAAAAGTCAAATGTGTTGATCATTAACAAGAAAGTTAACAAAAACAAAGACTGGCAGATTGGGAACTCAAAGATAAAAGAAGCTTCTGAGTATAAATATTTGGGTTATTGGATTACACATAACTTGTGAGATCATACACAATGTACAAAAACGTCTGAAATACTGTGGAATACTTTATTTTCGCTGGAATTAATTTTTGCTGAAAAGGCTTTTTGGGCATTCTTTATGGAATTTATTTTCACTGATTTTTGATGAGTTGAATGTGAAATATAGGAAATAAAGTATATTCGCTGGATTTTATTTTCACGGAATCATCCCTTCAGCGAAAATAGCGAAAATAAATTCCAAGCGAAAATAAAGTTTTCTACAGTATTTAACAAGTTATTCCCCATTATGAAATCAATTCTTGGTAACCATGGCAATGTAAATAGAGTAGATTATGGTATGTCCCTGTGGAACCACATTATTAGACCTGCCTTAGAGTATGCCTGTGAGTTACTAATATTTAGTTCATAAGATATGGAAAATTAGAAAGAATGCAACGTACAGTGGGAAAGTTTATTTTAGGAGCATGTCGATACACAGCAAACGAAGCCGTTCTAGGGGACCTGGGGTGGATAACTATGAAAAGTAGAGTCAGTTTATTAAAACTGAATTATTACAAGAGGTTGCGTTTAATGGAATCAACAAGATGGTCAAAAGTTATTTTTAATAAACTAACTGCAGTTAAAGAGAATAATCTGATTAAGACCTGGCCATGGCTAAATAACATTGAAGATATAGAAAGAAATATAAAGATAAACAAAAGTCAATTCACTAACCTGTCTGAAAGAAATTTTAAAAATTTGATTGTAAAAAGTGACGAGATTCAATGAAAACAAAAAATGGCAGAGAAATCAAGTCTCATTCATTATAGAAAATTTAAAACAAATTATTGTGAGAAATATTTAAATTCTTTATCTAACTTCAAGGGCACCCAATTAAAATTCAAGGCAAGATCCTGCACTCTTGGCTTGGCATATGAGAAAACTTGGATAATAATGATTGTATCTGTCCATGTTGCAAAAAGGAACCTGAAACACTAGAGCATTTCATATTACATTGTGAATGTTTCTCAGCACAGAGAAAAACCCTAATGGAAGGGATTGAAATGCTCCTATGTAACAAAAATGAAATAAATTTACATAAAGACTTCATAGCAAACAAAGAAGTGCTATGTTTAATCCTGGGTGACAGTACAAGGCAGTATAATTCAGTCCTGTGTGATGAAATTGATACTTTTACAAACAATTTCTTAGTTGATGCCATGGAGAGTAGAAAGAAGTATACAGATAATATTTAATATTTTTCCAGTGTACTTCTTATATTTTAGTTTGCAAATTTTTTTTGCTACTTTTAGATGTTTTTGTTGTTGTTATATTTTGTTATCTTAGTTCATGTGACTTTAATAGTTTCTTTTTTTTTGTCTATCAAAAGTTTTTTCATTAGTCTTTGAGAGAAATGTATTTTTATTTGGTGCAGCTCCTAATTTACATAAGTGAGCCCCTGTTACAAAAGGGAAGCAATAAATAAATAAATAAATACATGTAGGTGAAATATGTAGTGAGATCTGTATTTTGTTTATTGAAGATATCCACAAAAAGATGTGATAATCTAGATAATTATCAACACTGTGCAATATGCTCTACATATTGTTTAAAGTCGTTGGAATAATGACAATAAACTTGAACCTTCGGATTAAAAAAAGTCACCACCATTAATTAATGTTAGTATGTTTTCGAATATATCTTTGGATTATCTTTTAGTGAAATATCACACATACAGCGAGACACACCAAAAAATAACTTTCCGAAGCTATAGTAGATTAATTAATGTTCCGAAAATTAATTAAAGACAGAAATACCTGAAAAAAATTCATAACCACCTCCTGGTCCATAGTGTTTGGCACCTTTAGATACGTCATATATTTTCCCATATACTGCTAGATATAAACCATCGCCGTCAGGTGAACCATCGTAGCGTTTCAACTCGTCATATGTCATTATCTTTACAGTGTCTACTCCATTAATCGCGAAACCGAAAGTCTTTTTTAGAATGTCCCTGGCGGTTACCAAGCATGTTTCGTAAGCCGCGGGGTTTTTCGAAAAGTATACACCGCCGATAATAGCAGCTGTGGCGATCAATAGGGAAAATACCAAGATCTTGTGAGCCATTGTGTTTTGATGAACCGGGTTCGTTACCGTGGATGCGTTCGCTTATCCACCGCGTATGTTTACAAACAAGTGACGCAATTATTCAAATCACGACGTGTTAGACGATGTTCTTGGCGATTCCTTCCGTAGTATACCACTTAGGTGGCCAGACTTGTCGTCAACAGTTGCACTCAAGCCTCTGATCGCCAGCTAGCCTAATAAATTCACAATCGTTTCGGTTAAAATATGAAAATTAAAGAAAACGTTTCCCCACATTTGTTAATGGAGGCTGACATTTTGAAATGAAAACGAGGTCACTATATCGCAAAACGTTCTGTAATGACGCAAAAAAATCGAAGTAGCGTTCTACAGTCGATATTTTTAGTACAAATAAGTTAAACAATTGTTAAATATGATTTTTAAACCGAAATTCTTAATTAACAAGATTATTTTTGAGTCAATTATTTTTTCCTGTCAGAAACATGACATGCGCAGTAGATACTGTCTGCAAACGAGTATCAAGATGGCGGCAGAAGAATGGCGCACCTTGGCCTTTCGTAAGAAAGTAATGGCCCAGATGTGAGTACCTATTCTAAAACGTTGATAAATGCCATTCAAATAACCATAAGACACGTAGAAATCATCTGTCCAAGTTTGGTGTTCACTGCTTTTTCAAAACACGACGAGACTGCTTCCAATTGATTCCTTATTTTGGCAATTTGAGTGACAATTTAGGCTATTTTAGTTTTCTGGTGCGCCGGTCACTACTATTACCATGATTCATTTTTGTTGTTATCAAAATTTACTTTTGGTTCTTCTGAATATAATTTGGCCCACGAATTAAGACAGCCTTTAAATCGTACATGAGTAAGTAAGTAAATACAAATATTTTGATCTATAAATTGAAGGTTGAGTTGTCATTGAACTTGTAACCCGAATAAAATTATACATGTAGCGTTTTGATTGGCTTTCATCTGTTTTGCAGCAGTCACTGTTATTGTTCACTTCGGGAATACGAGACACAGGATCATAAAATAGTTACAAATCTGTAATTGATGTGATCGTCATTCATTTGTTTTGATGCAGTCATTGTTCATTTCTGGATTTATGACACACGGTTTCATAACATTGTTATAAATCTGTATTTGATGTGATTGGCATTTATTTGTTTTGATGCAGTCATTGTTCATTTCTGGATTATAGTTGTGTTCATGTTACACGAAGTACAGGCTAAGATTTAAGCTGATTTAGGCTTATCTAGCATATTTGCATTTCGGCTAGACCCAATTGCGTCCACGCACAGGGAGGGCCAGTCGTTAGCACGGGCTAAGGGCTGCCATTAGTTGGTGACCTTTGGTAAGCCGCTATTTACGAACGAAAAATGGATGACACGCGCGAGGTTCTATTTCTGCTGCTGGCATGTTTCGTTCTAATTTTGAAGCGACGTGCACAGGAACGCAAGAGAAGTTGGACCACTTATTTGGATGCACATAAACAGTATATAACCGGCGTAACACAATACAGCGTTTTATTAATGCATGTCGTAGACAGCGAACCAAATTTATTTTGTCTACGATTGGAGCTGCTGTACGCTCTACTACAGTGACCCGATTAGTGTGGAAGTGAGCGCGAAGTAATGACTGGTGGAATAGTGTCGTTATACGAACATGGGACAATTTTCACACCCAAAGGTCGCCGCAGAGGGCGCTTAGCCCTGGGCTAAGCGTTCGCGCATACTTCGTTAGCCCGTGCTAAGGTCTAGACCGCGTCTTAAATTCGGATTTAACCTGTACTTAGCATTCCTTAGCCCGTGCTAAGCGTTCACGCACGTTTTCTTAGCACGGGCTAAGGAATTTGACCTCTTAGCCCGTGCTAAGGAGCTGCGCGTGAACGCAACTTATGAGACACTGGTTCATAACATTGTTTGTTATAAATCTGTAATTGATGTGATCGGCATTTATTTGTTTTGCTGCAGTCATTGTTGATTACTGGATTATGAGACACTGGTTCATAACATTGTTTGTTATAAATCTATAGTTGATGTGATCGGCATTCATTTGTTTTGCAGCAGTCATAGTTTAAGATTATGAGACAGGTTCCTAACATTGATACAAAGTTGATGTGGTCAACATTCCCGAGATACATTACCAGAAGTTATTCACAAGAGGTCATAGTTCTCTAAGTTTGTTGTGTTTTATATCACAAAGTCACAACTTTGCCAAAACATTGATAAGTTTAACTTGTGTATACTTTCCATTTTTCTGAAATTAAAATATATGAGGAAATAATTAAACACATGCCAATCATCATCTGGCAATCAGAACTGGAAACACAAATGAAAAATTGTTTTGTGTGGGTATAGGATGTTCATTCAAAACTACCACAAAAACAACAAAACACAAGTGAACGTTGTCGGTGTACAAATGTTTGTTTCATGCATAAACTGCATCATTTGACCCCATAGGTGAAGAAAAAATAAAAAATTGCAAATATTTGAGGAAAATGTAATACTGTAAAATACTTTATTTTCACTTTTTTTCCTGAAGGGATGAATCAGTGAAAATAAAATCCAGCGAATTCATCCTTTTTTTTGTATATTTCAAATGCTCGACCCCATTATATAATGCTATATTCTGCATCACACACCAAAATAGTAGCTACATAATTTCTTCCCTTCATTACTAAAAGCTGGTTTATTGTGTTCATACACAATCTTGTTAGTGCCACAATCAAAGTGTTAGATGCCAGTATAAAAGCAACATTGCTAACTGACTAGTAAATTAGCTCACTAACGTGCTACACTGGTGTTCGAAATGCTACATGCAGCAGCAGTAATCCCAATATAGTTATCTCTTTCTCAGCTTCAGTCAGTTTGTCATAACCTGGGAAAGACTTGACATCAAATGGAGGTGCACTTTTTCTACCAAAATAAAAATAACATTACCTTCTATGAACTGCTGTATAGGTGATCCAAAAAATAAACCTAATAATAGGCATTAAGCTTCCACAGTGTGAACCAGGCCTAGTGCACCTTAGGTACCACACAACATGCACCATAGGTATTTTTGCCAGAAAACTGAATCTCCCATATTGATGGAATTTGTACATACGTTTGTTGGGCATTATGGGACCTTGATGCAAGTGATTTTGTTTTCAGATCAAATTCAAAATGGTTGGCTAGTCAAGTGGCTATTTTGTTTTATTGAATACTGTTTCAGAGCCATACATGTATCTTCAACAAGCTTTGACCAATCATGTCCTATCAGATACAAGATGTCAATCATTTTAATGTTAAAAAATTATAATCACATTCCTGACATGTTTACTTTCTAACTATATTACTATGTATGAACAAAACTATATATCCTTAAATTGGATAACTAATGGTGACTGTGCCATGCATGGCTTGTTTATTTGGCCATTGCCTTACCACTACACCTTGGCAGATCCTACATGTACAATGTATATAGCAGGGTTTAAGGTAGCGGGACTATTATTTCCATACTTGTTTTCATCTTCTAATTGGGACGAAACGACTACAAATAGACCCAGAAAAGTATATATTTTTAAAATCGCCAGACTTCAAGCTTTTCAAAGGTGTGTTTGCCATGCCCATATCTGCATTCTATGTTGCGTTACTCAATCAAAAGTGAAAAATTACTTTTTTTGTAAAAAAAATAATTT